CAAGGAAGTTGCTTTGCCGACACGAGGCAGGGCAAAGCGGCCACGCAAGATTTATTTTTTCATCCACCATTTTCGGAAAAAATATTTTTATTCATGTGCCGCGTGAGGAACCGTAACAAAACACGTGCATGCGTGGGCTAACTTGGCTTTGCTACTCAAAGCCGTCATTTGCGCACTCAAAACCAAGTATAAAACAATTAACTTTTAGGAAATTTGAGTCCATATGCCACGTACTGCTCTTTTCTCTCCGAAACTCCACACTTGCAAGCCAGATATGAAAAAAAGAAAAAATCGTCAGTCACACCACCGGGACTCGAACCAGGGACCTTGCTATTCGCGAGGAATGCTCTAACCAACTGAGCTACAGAATTACTCTTATCCACGGTGATGGTAAATCTATCCTTCTTTGAAGTCCAAATTTCAAATTGCAATTTGTATTTGCTCGCAGTGGACATAGTTTTATACGCTCCCCATGATATCAAGCGAATGGCTGAGGGCGCTCGTGATTGGTGTGAGTTGCCAGTATGATGCAAGACAGATATGGATTGATCGAAGAAGGATAGATTTACCATCACTGTTGATAAGAGTAATTATTATTATTATTATTGCAAATAACGCTGAGTAATTACACGAATGCATAAAAACCAGCATTTGCTTCCGGGAAGGATTCACAAACATAAGACAAAAACACCATGGCTCAATGTAACTGCACATACGAAAAGCAGCATCTATTGTCAAGTTCGAGTGGCAATGTCAGAAAGATGGTAGACTGTTCGGCGTGCACGATGTGCAACCTGCAGGGGATAAGTCAAGGACGCGGCTCGGCAGAGGAAGATGAGTGCCGCGGGGTGCCATTCCACCGTGACTTGTCCCCTGCCAACTGCCGCAGCTGATTAAGGCCTCTAAGCGTGCCCAGGCGAATGCCGAGTCGGGCTAGGCAGTCCTGAGAAAGAGCTGAGAGGAGAGTTGTCCTGGGTCGGCCCAGTCGACCGCGCAGGCTCCCAGTGGCTGAAAACTCTAACACACGCTGTGGGGGAGAGCTCTTCTGCATTCTCAGTACGTGACCAAGGAACTCCCAACGCCGTTGGTTAATCTCGAGCGAAATTGGTGCTGAGCCGCAGATGTCGTACAGATGCTTGTTGGTAATTGTGTTCGGGAACTTAACGCCAGCCATTGTTCTCAGATGCCTTCGATGAAAGGTGTCAATCCCTCTGGTGGTGGCATCTGTGAGACCTCATGTCGCACAGTTGTACAACAGCACTGGCTTCACATAGGTATTGTACAGCGCAACTCTAAACAGTAGTGAGGTAGATTGATGCTTGAAGAGTGCGTACAACGAACAGAATGCCTGGGTTGCTATAGCCTTTCTGGCTTGGACATCTTGCGCTGAGCCTAGCCGTGATCCCAGCGACTTCGCATTTCTCCATGCTTCGGAACCACGCTCCTCCAGATCATCAGCCAGGTATATCTTTGTTCGTTCAGTTTTGGAGGTATTAACGGTGAGGTTATGGCTTGGGAGGGTCTCTGCACATTGATCATGAACGTCCTCTAGCTCTTGCTCATCAGTTCCAATAAAGCCTAGATCATCCGCATACTGCAGTTCAGGTGGTAGGTTGTCGTCAGGAGGGGAGTCAGATCTGATACGTCGCAGTGCACTCTCAAAGTAGCATGTAAACAGAATCGGACTAAGACTGTCACCCTGTGGTGTGCCAACGTTCGACCTAAAAGGGGGCGCTGTTTTTCCCTGCACACGTACCTGAAGGGTGGTATCTGACAGCAGAGTGTGGACTAAGGGTAGCACATCCGGCGTGGTAGGAGCAACGCTGACAATCGTGCTAAGGAGATCTGAGCGGTGCGGCGTGTCGAAGGCCTTCGAGAGATCTATGCCTAGCCTGTATAGAGACCATCGCTTCGTCTCAGCAATGCTGCTGAGGATCCGTAGAGTGAACACCACATCAGTTGTGGCCCGGCCCCGTCGGTACGCGCTCTGGGATGAAGGGAGGTAGTCCTCAACCTCTGAGGAGATCCTTGCCAGAGTGATGGTCGAGAGAATTTTGCGCACACCATTGAGTAGGACTATGGGGCGTAGACTTGTGCAGGGTCCTCTTGGCTTTCCTGGCTTCTGCAAGGGTATAAGCAGCCCCGATCCGATGGCAGGATCTGGTGTGGATGACTCTAGTGAACTCTGGAGGATCTTGGTGACGGCAGATGACAGGCCTGGGGACACACCATACTTCAGTAGCTCATTGTGGACACCATCAGGGCCTGGAGAACGCCTATTCTTCAGCCTGCTCATGGCTTTGCAGACCTCCGACTGTGTAACCTGTGTAACGACCACATCACCCTTGCTCGGAAGGGGTTCCGCACTGGAGTGAGAAAACTGTGTCTGAAAGTGACCTGATATAAGTTCCGCTTTCTGCTCTGGACGATTTACCAGAGCGCCATCGCTGTTCTGAACGTGGATCTCTGTGGATTTCCTTCTTAGAGACTTGACTGCAGCATGCATCTTTGCTGTATCATTTCTCATTGTCTCTATTTCTGCAGCCCTTGACTCCAGCTTGGATATTGATCTCTTCTTGATCTCTGACCGTAACTCGTACAGGACCTTGTTGCGCTGTGCTTTAAGCTGCGACGTCACGTTGACATTGATCGAGGCCTCTATCTTGATGCGCAGTGATTTCTGCTGACTGGAGAGGGTGGTGAGTTGTGGGTCATCCGTTATGTAGTTTGGATGGTGTGCGGTGGCATCACTCACTCCGAGCACTTCCTCTGCCGTTGTCTTAATGATGGTGGCGAGATTGTCCCAAGAATCCGCTGCTGATGTTGCGATCGCAGTTTCTAGCTTCTGTTTGTATTCATCTTGCAGTGCGTTGTTGCCTGGTAATTTGTCAACTAAGATCCTGGGGTTCTTCTTGCGTCGGACGAAGCTGGTTCTGCGGATCTGATGGAGATTGACCATGGTAGTAACCACCATCCTATGATCTGACGATAATTCACAACCTGCGTATGACCTACCGTTTCTGAGGCCGCTAACAAGGTGATTGGGGACAAGGATAAAGTCGATTTGATTGTAGATTGGTTGAGGCACTGTATCACCCTGGCGCTTGAACGCTCCTGTCCACGTCGCAATATGGCGTGCTGGGTGTTGAAATACGGTGTTTGACAGCTTCATGTCCAATTCATCCGCGCACAACAGGAGTGATTCACCGTTGTCATTGCGTCTGCCCTTGAAGTCACCGCCGACGAAAACGTCCGTACGGCGAGAAAAACTTCGAACGAGGGAGGTTAGCGACTCATAGAAGTTGTGTCGGAGCTCAGGGTTACTCGATGACTTTGGCATTGTCGGAGCATACGCCGTAATAAACGCAAGCGGCGACTTATTTGACGAAGGGAACGAGAATAGGGCATACCCAATTCTGTCACTCACAGCTTTCCAGCACGACAAGAATGGCCGCAAAGTAGGGCCCACGGCCACGCCAACTCCGCCAAACCTGTTGCTTGTCGACATAGTGAGGAGTTGGTAGCCCAGTGGTAAGTCCCATCGACAGCACGAACCGAGAGCGAGCGAGCGAGTTGCTCCCGTCGATAAATTGAGGAGCAGCTACGGACATTCCACGAAGCCAGTCGGAACAATTTGTTAGTCATTTTCCCAGAAAAGTAAGACAGAGATGGTAGGATGAGATAGGAAAGGAGAAAGGAGGAGAGAGAAAAGAAAGGACATGGGCTTGTCAGCACCCAAACAACTAATAAGAGTAATACTGTAGCTCAATTGGTTAGAGCATTGCTCGCGAATAGCAAGGTCCCTGGTTCGAGTCCCTGTGGTGTGACTGATGATTTTTTCTTTTTTCATATCGGGCTTTTAAGTGTTGAGTTTCGGAGGGAAAAGAGCAGTACGTGGCATGTGGCCTCTAATTTCCTAAAACTTTGAAATTCACCGTGAAGTCCAAATTTGAAATTGCAATAAAACAATTAAAATGAAACAATTCCAGGACGTTTTTTCGGGACTATCATCAGTGGAACATCGTCACATAGTAAGAATGCCTAAAACAGTCCGTATTATTTAAAACTATGCGTGCTAAAACATAATGACGGGGACGAACAGGATGATCAGGAGGACAGCAAGGGCGATCAGGATCAGGAAGTGGAGGATGAGAGTGATACTGACGAGTAGGAGTTCGATATCGACAAGAACAAGTCTGGTATCTACAAGCATTTGGTGTCCAGTCCGGATTGTCGTAAGTTGTTGGACGATTCCTGTTTGAAATATGGTGCGCACGTTTCTTTAAGCAGTTGTAGGTGTTGGAAGCTTTATATGTTCGTATACGTGACCCTGTACTATGCAAGCAAAAAGAAAATGTTGTAGCACTCACACTTTTAAATATACGCACTCACCAATTTTGTCCACACGGAGACACAGCTGCCACATTAATCTACTGCTACCATTCTCAGATACACTGCATAAGTTCACACTATACGCGTTATGCATAACCGCGAGCTGCTGCATTCTCACGCTTCTTTTCATATTACTCTAGCTATATAACTGGTTGTTTTAGTGATTCTTACTATGTGACGATGTACCGCTGATGATAGTCACGAGAAAACGTTCTGGAATTGTTTCATTTTAATTGGTTTCTACATTGTTATGAGTGAACAAATGATATTTTTAATTGCTATTCTATAGCAGATTATTACAGATATTGATAAACTCCTTCAGACAGCTGTTCATTTAACATCTACCTTCACTGATGAGCTATGTATTAGCGAAACAGCTGTCTGAAGGAGTTTATCAATATCGTCTACGGAAGTGTAGTCGCAATGGTAATGGTTGTGTGCAGGAGGGTCTAGTCGGCTAAAGAGGGCAGTGTAATGGTGGCGGTGACTCAACATTTTCTATAGCAGATTGTTTTACATAAAGGTAACTGGCGGCGTTAGTGGACAGTATAACCTAACTTTTAGTTCCTTAGTCCTTGTGTTTGCCATTAATGTATCTACTGTATTACCTTTAGGCAATGTTGTAATGTAGACATCTTGGGAGATGCTGCTGTTTATTCCAGTCGTAGTGGTGTAGAATGCTCGGACTCGGTACGTCGTGTTGGTACTCAGGTTTGCCAAAACGGTAGACTCACTTGTGCCACAAACCGAAGTTGTGACAGCCGCTTTAATGTTGTCCGTGTACACAAAGCAGAATCGAGATATCCATTCCCGAAGTACCTGTGGCTGCACTAAACGTGCGAAGATCTCAGTTTCAGTGGAGTCGACAGCTATGTTGGAGGGTTCTACATGGGAGAAAACATAGTATGGACCGTTTGAACTGACAATGTAAAAGGATTTTTTTTTTATTGAACCTCTATATTTTTGCCTGGGGCCCTGGAAGCCATTGCCCATGGCAGACCAGCATGGCGATATCTATGCATGAGGGTCTGTGCATTGTGATATTTCGACAGATTCTGAAACAGTCAAACTCAGTAAATAGCGCTATCATTATCACTCAGGCTGCAATATTCATAATTATAGACATATTCATAAATGTGCATTCCATTTGTATCTAATATTATTAATTTATTTTGGAAGTGAAGTGAACCTATGCAGCGAAGAGACCGTAGTTGGAGAGTTTGAAGTGAGGTACCCTGTAATATATTCATAAATGACATATCTTCAATACCCATTAGCTACATTGTATTATATTATTATAAGTACACAAGAGAGAGTTTGGAAGCTTTGTCACAACTCCGAGTTTCACGTATCTCGTATCTCTACGATCATTATAAGTATCAAAAGTATTAAGACAGCATGTCTGAGAAAACCAGAAAATATGTGCAAGTCGATCTCTCAGATTTCGCTCAAATGTTCCAGGTAGGTTTGCTTTGGGGTGTAGATCGACATTCCAAAGCCCGCGCAAAATCGTTTGAAGACAACCATGAAATTGGCATACCCCTCACTATTGGCCCAATATTGGCACGATTTATGGGTATGCAAACGAGCAACGGCACAGCGTACAAGAACAAGCGACGAACAAAACTCCATCAAGCTCACATTACCTCACCTTAGAAGAGTTCTTGGGGCAGCACCACTAAGCAACGCCAGCATCCCAGAAGACGAAGGCAATCATCCCTTGACGCCACAAATGATCGTCTTGAAAATAGTCAGATTACAAGCGCTGATAAAACAGCGAGCTACGTCCTCAATTAGCAAACACTATACACCGGCAGATAGTAGAACACCTCTTCTAGCACTGAGGACATGTCCCCCATCATCCTTTTTGGGTTTTCTTGAAATAAACAGTTTTGAATTTTTCCACTCGACCATTCTGAAATACGTCCAAACTCATACCTGCGCAGGAAAGCTCGCCCCTCCGTGACGTCTAGTCAGCAATTTCTACTCCAACACCACTCCCAACGCTGCAGAACAAAGTGTATTGTTGACTCTGACAAGGAAAAGCAGCGGTGATCACTTGTCACTCCAAACGACAAGCTTCTCCTTGCGCCATCAACATTTTCGGTACAACAGTTGATGCAAAAGTGACTGAATTTTTGCGTGTAGTTTTGGGACTTTACTGCAAGAGAAATCGGAGAGATCCACTTGCACACATACTTTGGTATTCTCAGACACGCTCTCTTAAAGATAAAGATGAATTAAGAGTAGAAACTCGCGAGAGTTTCCCTGTCAAACATAACGAGAGAGGACATAATAATACTTTGATTTCTTTGTCCATCACCTTTTTACATACGTAACATGTCGCTTCATCTCATTCTGTTTATACTTATTTTGTTTACCTATCTGAACTGTGTTTAAGTCATTTTGGTGCTGCAAATCTCCTTTCATCTTCATACCAGGTATAAAGGATAAAATTTATCACCAAGTATTTAATACTTGGTGAGCACTATAGCTGTGATATGGTAGTAGCGATCATTGCAAACGTCACAGGCCGAGTTACATAGTGGATTGGCTAAAGTGGATTAACCCTTCAAAACTTCATTTATTGCCAAAAGCCCATAGTATAATTTTGAATTGTTTTCTTCTTCACACAGTGAATGCATACGATATTAGGTCGGTGAATGGGCAGAGTGTTGCTTGAAAGTCGGCATGAATTTCTTAAACCAATGTTACTAAAGGTAAACTGATATCTATACGCTAGTGTAGTCCTACCTAGTATACCTTACCATTTGGTGTATATCTTTGACAGTAGAAACTTAGCTTCATTGTGCAAGATTCGACTCCGAAACCCTCTTTTTCAGGTGAATAATAACCACATTTTCTTTCTCCACTACCTCCTGTTGTTGAATTTACCCAGGGAACTGTGCTCGGTATGGATGGAACTGGTAACACCCATGTCCAATTTTTAGATGTTCGTTGTAGAGCAACCCACACATTGCATGTATTGGCTTTGCAGCCAAACGAGGCATTCTTGCAATTATCACTTGAGGAACTGCTGCATTGACCATTTCGTGGTCCAAGCACTGACCTTGCGCACTCTGCATGGTTTAAGCTTTGGATATTGGCGAGAATGCTGAATCTCCCTGCGCAATCGGTGGTGGCCTCATCATATGTCTTAGGCGTTGGATTGTAAAGTATCTCCATGCGTCCAAGAGATTTGTTCGCAGAGCACACGTACCAGTTATCTTCACAAAACACAGTTTGCATTCCGATACAGCCATGATGAAACAATGGACATATGAACATAGAAACATTCGAGGCACATGGGTTAGATTGCTCGATACACAAAATTGCTTATGGTTCAGGAAGACATGCACGAACACCTAAGGAAAGGGATTGTCCAGCTCCGACTTGAAGTCTCACATAATTATTAGGGAGGGCACCATCAGACATTTCAACTTTCCACTGACGTTTGTTTGCGAGTCTTGCTGGTGTGAGTCAACAATTATTCCCCGTATACATTCCACGGCTATCTTCAGAGCTGAGCCTTTCAAATCTATTATTGGTTTTGAAGTTAAAGTGACACATGGAGCACAGGAACGAGCAACACAAGTTGGAGATTGTTTTATTGGCGGGCAGTGGTTTAAATAAATTTTAGACTCTGAAATTTCAACACTCAGATAATTTGAAGACTATTGTTTTTTTGTGTTGATGTGAAATTTGCCAAATACACTGTATGCGTATTACAATGGGTGCAGTAGGGCAGTGTAATTATTTTAGTGGGCTCATTTATGTGAGAACACCGTTCCACGGTGGTAAATGAAAGCCGTCAAGTCCGTGGTGGGAGTAGAGGTCAGAGACTGACAAGATGGAGCATTGCTTTTGTTCGATTATCCACAAGCTAAACACCATACTGGCATATATGGGACACTTTTCAAGAGATGACACCATTCAAGAGAGGCACTTTTGTTTTAATGCTGCTGCATTTACGTCATCCAACAGAAAACAAAGAAAGCGCAGCCAAACATTTGCTGTAAAAGTTCACGACTCATCAGAAACGGCCACAGGAACTGGGATTTTGATCTGAAACCACCAGTGTAATAGGCTGGACAAGTCTATTGGAAAAACAACAACAAGCTTTCCTACGTGCATGGTTAGCAAACAACGCCAAGTATTCACAGGCTATTGGCTGGGCACTATTCAAGAGAGGGTTATCTTTGTTTCCACCGGCTATCTGAGAGACAGGGGTACTATTGGAGAGTGGACTCTAATCGCCGGTGTACGGTTCTCGCTCTCCTATCTAGGAAGTACTTAAAGCTGTCTGTATGTGTATGCTGTCTGTATGTGTATGCTGTCTGTATGTGTATGCTGTCTGTATGTGTATGCTGTCTGTATGTGTATGCTGTCTGTATGTGTATGCTGTCTGTATGTGTATGCTGTCTGTATGTGTATGCTGTCTGTATGTGTATGCTGTCTGTATGTGTATGCTGTCTGTATGTGTATGCTGTCTGTATGTGTATGCTGTCTGTATGTGTATGCTGTCTGTATGTGTATGCTGTCTGTATGTGTATGCTGTCTGTATGTGTATGCTGTCTGTATGTGTATGCTGTCTGTATGTGTATGCTGTCTGTATGTGTATGCTGTCTGTATGTGTATGCTGTCTGTATGTGTATGCTGTCTGTATGTGTATGCTGTCTGTATGTGTATGCTGTCTGTATGTGTATGCTGTCTGTATGTGTATGCTGTCTGTATGTGTATGCTGTCTGTATGTGTATGCTGTCTGTATGTGTATGCTGTCTGTATGTGTATGCTGTCTGTATGTGTATGCTGTCTGTATGTGTATGCTGTCTGTATGTGTATGCTGTCTGTATGTGTATGCTGTCTGTATGTGTATGCTGTCTGTATGTGTATGCTGTCTGTATGTGTATGCTGTCTGTATGTGTATGCTGTCTGTATGTGTATGCTGTCTGTATGTGTATGCTGTCTGTATGTGTATGCTGTCTGTATGTGTATGCTGTCTGTATCAGTTTACTACAGTAGTAACAACACCAACAACAACAACGACAACGACAAACACAACGACAACGACAAGGACAACGACAACAAACGACAACGACAACGAACGACAACGACAATGACAACGAACGACAACGGCAACGACAATGACAACGACAACGAACGACAACAACAACGACACAGATAACGACGACGACGATGACGGCAACGACGACGATGGCGACGGCGACGGCAACGACGACGATAACGACAACAAGTATAACAGTGCTTTCGCGCTAGAAGCATCCTTGAAATGGCCCGTGGCTAGTGAGGCGTCACGTTATGAGAAAATGGCGTTTTCACCACAGCCCAACATCCCAGAACTTAACCGTACACGACCTATAAGGTCCGAATCCCACTACCGTGCCGTGAGTGCCGTGCCGTGAGTACCCATGGTGATTTGCTCAGGTGAGGGGGCAGTTTTGGCACGAGTTCATTCCGTGGCTCCTGCTGTACCGCGCCGTGGACATTCCGGTGCTGAGGGGCCTCTGGGGGGGGGTGGGAATGGCATGCCGTGGTATTCCGCGATGTCGAATGCAGTGAGTAGTACTTCAAGTATTTATTTTACTACTCCCTGGAAGGAAGATTTTTCTTCCTTTTGTATTTGTGGTACTTCGAAGTACGAAGTTTTTTTCTTCGCTTTTGGCTTTTCGATTGGTTGATTCTTGGGCTTTCTCCAGTCATCTCCCCGGCCCCCGCTATTTTCCCTCAGGACCAAAGTCAGAAATTGATTAAAAAAATGGTGAACCGGCCTGCCGACGGAATGCACAAAATGACTGTGCGCAGGTGTAAATCACTCTCAGCTTCAAGCTCGTTCTGTGGGGTACACGTGACCTACCCAAATCGTCGGCACGGCATTCACGTTACCGTAGTGGGAATCGGCCCTAATTGTGGAACCGTTTCATAAGCAATTTTCTGTGTATGAAGACTTACGATATATCTTGATAGATGTGGATCGTACAAACTTCTTCACCCTTTCCATGCCAGCATGTTTTCCTGTGTTGGCCACGCATTGTTCAGGCGCTGCGCTCACTTGTTTAAAGCTGCACGCGGTGCTAAGAACGAAATGTATTCCTATTTCACTGTACCTTGATGGATTTGATGGATTTTAGGGACTCCCAGCGCGACAGGCATATCAGGCCCCTTTTCATCTCCTCTCCAAGCCCCCCTACAATGCCTGAAAAGAACAAAATCATTGCCTCTCATGTTTTCTTTCGTCGTCTTGCTCATAGTCAAAACTGCGTTGGAAAGCTGAGATTCAAGCGCTTTTGTTGAAGCTTACTGCGAACGCGGTGTATCTGGGGGAAATCTCCAAGCCCGCTGGAAGTCGCGAACCAAAAATTTGACTCGATCGTCAAAAGGTGAAATTTGCGCATTCTGACCGTTAAATTTGTCGCCGCTCGGTCATACCTTGTCGTATCGCGTAACACTTTGTAACACTGTAAAGCTCAGCGCAAGACCTTTCCAGCCGTGTCTCAACATTAGCAATCTGAGATATTTAGACAGAGCAGGGGCGTGACAGGGCGGCTGCGAGTGGTAGGACCGGTGGTCAGGGGGTGTACCCGGGGATAAAAATAAGGATTTTTCGGCTACCAAGGCACGTTTTAGCACTCTACAGCCGCAAAGGACGGTTCCCCTGGTAGTTAATAGGCGACCTCACTCACTCTCCAGCTCCAAAAACATATATCTTATGGATTTGTTGGTATTTTCAGTACATCTTATGTAGCCAAGCAAGGCAAAAGGGATTGCCCTCGAAAAAATCCCAAAATCTGAAGTAAAAGCGTGCTGCGCGTTCAAGCGCAAACCGCTGTGCAAAAACGTTTGTCATGTTCTGCAAAAGTGCACCGCGTCGCATGCACTATGTACAAAGTACTTTTAGTTGTTTTTGAGAGAGAGAAGAAGATCCTTTTTTTTGTTCGGCGGGATTGAAAAATCTGCGAGTGGACCGGAGAGCTACAACACTGGAAGCAGATGAATGGGCTTGCGGAATCTTCTCTCTCTACGTAGCGACAAGACTTTAGTTTGCGAGAGACTTTCGTCCTGTCGTCGCGGACGCAATTCTTGTTGCTGCTACCAGAAAACTCTGAGAACGAAACGATCAAATGCTAAAGCGAGCTTTGCGTTCAGTGTACGATACTGGTTTTTGTAGCCCATCAAGCCCTTTATTTGCGAGACTTGGTCTAGATCGTTTGGCATGCATGTATTGCAAGAAAATGCTGCATCTGACGTGGCGCTTTTTGGAAGGCCGCTCTAGTGTCACATTAAGTCAAATGTTCGAGCGTTTAAATAATGGTCTTGCAACGCGCAGCCTTTTATCACGCACTCTTAAGTTGCCCATGGTCCGAACTGCCTTTGCCCGTCATGGCGCTTCCTTCCAAGCTGTGGAATGATTTACACCCTCTAGCTCGCTGTGTGGATAACTCCGCCCGCTTTAAGAAACTGTTACCCCAATGCCTAGCTTTTTCACGCTAGTACTTATGACTTTCAGCTATGCAAAATGCGAACATAATCACCTATTCAATACCGGTAGTCGATTATATTAATTATTCATATCTTTTTGCATCTTTCCCTCGAGTGGGTCTATTGTTATTAGGCAATTGTCTGTTATAGTCACCACTATACACAAAAATCCAATCCAATCCAATCGTAAATGGGTTGGCGAAGTGGGTAGTGTCGGTGAACAGCTGCAGAATATTCTGCCGCCGTGGAGCAGCAGTCCAAAGTTGAGTCGCCGACTCCAAACACGTTTCAACGTCGGAGAATGAAGCGCTTCCCTATGCCTATGCCGTCGCGGGTGTAATGCAGTTTCGCATCAGCTTGCAGTAGATCGTCAGTAGCCAGAGGTAATACAGGTAGGTGTTGTTGTGGAAATTATATACAAGTAATAATAATTATTATGTAACTTGTTGTAGCTTACAAGTGACATACATGTAGTGTCTCTTGACCGTGCTGATCGCCATTGTAACATTGTGGATCTTGGAAAATGTTAGTTCTGGACCCAGTGATCGCCGCCAGCTCAGCTCTGTTTCCGTCAAGTTTGCAATGAATGCGTCCGTGAGGAATCCATCTTCCGGTTGTCTCTACCCGTGACTCCAACCGCCTACCGTAATGGATAGTCGCCTGGAGTCTTGGGCAATAGCTAGCTGCTAGTGCTAGGCATCTAGTCTGTATGCTCCTTGTGATGAAAGTATTTTTCGATGCTTTGTACAAGTCCGAAGATCCTTGTATTTTTTATTGCATTTTTGGATGAATTCGGTGGACCATCCTGGACGAAAAGTGATACGACCATAGTGGTAGTGTTCGAACCTTGCGTGACGCCCCTGAAGAGTTATGACGGTTTGTTCACTCGTCTATAACCCGCGATACATATGTACTGTAAATTGCAGGCAGAACGCGTAACCGCGTCCATGGCCAATCGGCTCATACTAAAAAAAACGGTAAACGCATCCATGGCATGGAAAGAGTTAATGTTGCCAAGCTCCACTGGAGCCGACTTCATTACATGAAGAATTCATTACACTTTGGGTTGCATGGTTTAGGTCCACCTGTTTTAACCTCAATACTGATGCCTCATGGCCGAAAATAGACATGCACAACAGACTGACTGTATAGGTTCAAAAACTATGTGACTACAATGTCCGTTCATTCAAAGGCCATACACCTACTTTTAGGCACATATCGTTGACAGAGGTACCGAAGTGTATGGTTATTGTCCCACGTCCGTAATCTGGAAATTTCTGGCTGATAGTATCCGTATATGTAATCATCCCGAATCGCTGGAAATGTTGATGCCCATGGAAGTTGTGCGGTAACGGTCGACAATGCAGCTTCCCATTTCCAAGCACTCCAGTTCCCGGGGCTCCATGTACCAGTCAGGCCTACCCACGTAGCGGTCGTTCCCATGACTGTAGAGTTGGCGCACTGCAGATGAGCAATTGTCTGAACAGTAGCCAGTGATCCGCCAAGTGACCGACAGGATTTGTTGGCGTCTTTCCAGGTTTTGCGGTCAAATTGAAAAGTCCAATCGACTTGCCAAGTACTGGTGTTGGTTTGATCACAGTCTTTCCATGTCGCTGCACAGAGCGAATCAATGCAAAAGAACTGAAACTACATCGAATGTTCTGAAAACAGACTGATGTTTATTAAACACGTACATGAAAAGCAAACTCCTCATACAACGGACCCAATTATGCAGCATATTTTGTTCTTTATAGCCGAAGGTCGGCGTAACAGAAATGCACAGATCCGATTATACTATCGGATCTTGGGTCTACATCCAATTTTAATTGTGTGATGATTGCCAACGGGCATGAAGCGTTAAGTAACAACGAAAGATTGGATGAGCTAAGTATTAGCGAAACAGCTGTCTGAAGGAGTTTATCAATATCGTCTACGGAAGTGTCCTCGCAATGGTGATGGTTGTGTGCAGGGGGGTCTAGTCGGCTAAAGAGCGCAATGTGGTGGTGGAGGTGACTGAACATTTTCTGCAATGGCCGAGAGCTCTGTCGCACCCTGTAATAATGAAAGATTGGTTGGTTGGTATAATTCATTTTACTTCGCCAGAATGGACATGCATTGCTGCCTTCTAAAGTAGATTATCCAGGTTCCCACACTAAAAGACGAAGAACGGATAAACGAATGATGAGATGATGAAACATGTGTAATGTTAATCTTAATTTCATTTTGAATAGCAGTGAAAAGACAGTTTTTAGTAGAGAAGTGAAGTTTCCTATAAGTGTAAAGCAATCAATCTTAATAAAATTTAATAACACCCAGCTTGAATCTTTCCTGAACTTGTTATACAGGTGCATAGTAGATGCATCTGTCAACGGTGTCAAGCCAAGTTAGTCTATCTCCTGCGGCAGAGAGAGCGCTCTCCACGGAGAGATACGGCTCTCTTAAGATAATGCCGAATTGTGTCCATTCACCGCAATGGGTGACGCTTACAGTTTTTTATGTCGCTCGAGTTGATGGATAGCTATAGTGCTTTGATCGAAGCGGATGCGGGACCCTCTCGCACTACATCGCCAAACCACAACAGCCTGGGTCGCCGGAATGTGGCGCTAACTGCAGATTGTTTTGTTTTTGAGTATAAGTTGTTATTTGTGATGCGTTACAGCAGACTATCTTCAGCAGAACGGGTAGCCTCCTCCGTTGCCATTTGTCCAGTTTGTCGTTGAGCAATGTGGACAGAGTCCGTAATACGCAATTGTATAGAATGAACGTTTTATGAGGCAGTTAAACATACACGGTCGGGATTGAAATGAATTTCGTCTCCACGAAATTGAACCAAACGGCCTGTCTATAATATATTGCATTCGTAGCTTGGAAATGCCACACCCTTTCCACCGAGAAGAGCCCTGTGTTATATCACAGGGTGATAGAGAGAACACTATTGAGAATGTGAGAAGAACCGAAGTGTCAAGGAAGTTTGAATACTGTCTGCATGAGAGAAGGATGTCAAATAGATGCAGTAAATAGATAGGTAAAGGTAAAAAATATCACACTGTGTGCTTTTGTCCATGTCTTGTGTAAAGCCCAATAGGGAACGCAGGAGTTTTATTCATCTCAATTCTTTGCAGTTTATCTTACCATCAACATATTCAGTTTTCTGCATATTGAGATTTGAGGTTGTCTTCGTTAAATATGGGTTCACACTCAGTATTGTCATTTCAGTTATGCAAGGTAGTATCGTCAGAGTACTACGTTGTCGGAGCAATCATTGGTGAGCTAATTGTGCATCTTTCCCTGATCTTGCGCATTGTGCCTTCGTCATAGTATATTATGAACGTAATATGGGACATCGAGTCTCCCGGGACCACTCCCATGTTAGTTGGGAATGGTGAACTCGGGGAGCCACTCAGCGTTTTTGTTTGTTGATTGCTGAAGTGACTTCTTGGGTGGTAAACGGCAATTCCTCCTCATCATTGATATATTGCGAGCCACGGAAATCACAGGGTTGGTCAAAGCGATAAAATATTCCCTGGAAAAACTAATTTTTTCAAGATTCCATTGAGGGTTTGTCATGATAATAGTCATCAACGTCTTCCAGCCCGACAGGAGGAGTGTTGGTGTTCCTTAATTTGACCTAGATTTCTGATTGCATTGTGATAGGATCGTGGGTCATGTCGTGAGGCATCAGTAACGTCTGCCTGCCTTTGCCAGAAATCGTGTCCATCCTGCCTAAGTATTTCTTTTAAAGATTTTTGTGCTATCTTATAAGATCAATATTACAGGAGAGTGGGACGCATGTGTTGGAGTCCGCATTCGAGATGTGCTAGAGCTGTTATCGAGTTATTTGTAGAACGTCAGTAAAGTTGGTCAACGTCGTGCAATGATAATAATAATCTAATAATCTTTATTTCAGGATTACCCAAAGGCTAACGCCTATTGATATAGCATGACCTGATTGTAACAGGTGGTGTTAGTGGACACAAAACCGTACCTTGTAGTTCCTTGTTGTTGTTGTTACTTTGTTTTACTTCAACACAAATTACAGGCAGTATAATGCCTTCTCACTGATGTTCCTTTTCCTTTTCTATAAAATACTTTGTTTTATCCTTTACTAGCATCCCTCTTCCAGTTGAGGGATGGAAGTTATTTAAGGCTGAAAAAATTGTGATTGCTGACGCTACCGTCAAACTCATCTAAACATAATCCGTAATACTAGAAAATGTCTACCAACTGACAGCGCGGCACTCAATCACGCACACCTCTACCTGAGGAATATAAAAAACCCGACTTACAGGTACATGTGTAACTTAATTCTTGCCAATCGTGTCTCAATGCGAAACGTTTGCAAACTTGTTAATTAGTCCATATACTCGGAGAATTAACTGACACCTTCCATAGAAAGCAATGCGATTTGAGTCGAACATCAACACATACCGCCATCTGGCCAACCTCTTTATGGATGGTGAATGCTTGTTATCCTGTGAAGGCATCACCCATGCAGGGTGATCCGGTTGCGATGCTGAAGTACGCCCTTGGCATCGTACGCTTGGTCCAAGCAGTCAGCTCGCCCGACGTCATCCAGGTGTGGTACGCAGATGATCCTTCAGGGGGTGGAAAACTTCGAGCCCTCCGCACCTGGTGGGATGGGCTGACCGAGCAAGGAGAAGTTTTCATTTCTTGTTGGCTGAGTTTTACGAAATAAACAAGAAATGTTGTTCTTTTCGAACGAACAGGTCTGGGACCGAGGTCCAACAGTTTTGGGCGTACTGGTACGCCGCAGTCCCTCATCTTTTGTTTTCTTGCTTTGCAAGCTGGTTTCCCACCCTCCCTCCCAATGAGGAGCTTTGTACGGTTTTCACACACAGATCATGATTGTGAGAGCGCTGCGTTACTCTCTCTCTCTGATAGATTTCTCAATATTGCTGCTACAATACAGGTTATAAGTTGTGCGAGGTGTGGAATGTGCGGATGCTCTGTCGATTGCTGTGCTTTTCTGTATGATTCACCTCGCACAATGCTGTCACTCTATGAGGTGTTGTTTTCGCTGGACGTTTTTCTGTCTGTGTTCTGGACACAAGAGTGCAACCAGCCTTGCTGTGGCTGTCCCCCCCCGCTGCTGTGGCTGTCCCCCCGCAGTTGTTATTCTGTGATGAGTGTGTGTGAGTGTGTGTGTGTGTGTATGTGAGAGAGAGAGAGAGTGTGTGTGTGAGTATGTGTGCAGTACTGACGTGTGAGTGAGAAAAGAAACCCATGGATACCGACCCAATGCACAGCAAATCCTTGCTGCAGGTGAAGGAGCGCGCATCCGATGAGGCGGTTGCCGTCTTTGCTGGCACGGGTTCCAGATAGTCAGAAATACCGGTCTTAGCTTGAGAGCTATTTTGGGCACCTCATAGTTTTTTAACAGTTTCGTAGAGGCAAAGGTCAACTACTGGACACATCAGGTGTCGCGGCTATCCGATTTTGTCCTGACAAAACCCTTTGCTGCCTACTCCACATTTGTCCATGGTCTACAAAACAACTGATCTTTCTTGTCAAGGACCTTGGAGATGTCATCTGAGGAGTTTGGTGGTCTGGAAGCTGTTATTAGGGAGCGCCTCATCCCATCCCTTACTAGTCGAGTCCCTCCGTCCAGTGTGGAGCGACTTATGCTCTCGGCTCCTTGTCGAGGTGGCGGTTTAGGTCTCTCGATTCCCACCGCCCAATCACGCCAATATGACCACTAATGAACTTAGAGTAAGGATTGGTAAGGCAGATCTCTCGCTAGCTTGTGTGGCATACGCTACCAAGACCACCAAACGTCAAGCACGCACTGCAGCTCGGGCATCACAGCAACATCTGAAGGAGGGGTATCACAGCAACATCTGAAGGAGGGGTATCACAGCAACATCTGAAGGAGGGGTATCACAGCAACATCTGAAGGAGAGGTTTTGAGCGGTGAAGGTGCGGTACATGTGCCTCAGCTTGAGCTTTCTTCCGAGCGTGGTAGCTATGCTTGGCTGACGTCACGTCCTCTATTCTGCTAAGGCTTTCGTCTCTCTAAGTTTGAGTTTAGAAATGGTCTGTATTTGGGCTATGGTAGGGTTTCAGAGCGTTTGCCGTCGTCCTGCAATTGTGACGACGGCGGTTTCGACGTCTCACACGCATTATCCTGCCGGACAGGTGGATTTGAGTCGCATGACACGATAAAATCCGTGACGTCACCGCCGACCTCATTCGCTAGGTGGCTCAATCGGAATCCGTGGAACCTCCACTTCAATCGCTCCCTGCTGAGCAGTTCAGCCTCCGGTCTGCTTTCTTAGAGGACATTAATGCTCGGCTCGACTTCGCTACCAGTGGGTTTGGGGTTGGCCAGTTAGAATGCACAAAGTTTGGTTTATGGCTTTTCAACCCCATCGGTGCTTCGAATAATGCTGCCTCAACCCCAGCTGTGTATATCAGGCACAAGTCCATCCAGATCATCACAACCCAGCTGAGTGCTGACCTTGCCGCTCTGGATCGCTACCTAGATCAGAAGGGACTGGTGTTAAACCCTTCCAAGACTCAGTTTGTCCTGCGCAGGCGACCGGGCAAGGAGCTGCCACCTGGCACCGCAGTCAACTGCCGGGGCACTTCCATA